TGATTTTAGAGTGAAAGTTTTCAGTTTTTGTCCATTTAGTATGATGTTCACTGTTGGTTTGTCATACATGGCTTTTATCAGATTGAGATAAAGACCATCTATACCAATTTTCTGTAGTTTTTTTTTCCTGTACAGTTTTTATCTTTTTTTTTTTATAACTTTTTTCCCAGTACCAAGAATCGAACTCAGGACCTTGCACTTTCCAGGCAGGCACGGCACCACTGAGCTAAACCCTTGGCCCCTAAGAATTACTTCAATTTATAACAGCATCCACAGATTCAATCTTACAACATTTCTATAAGATAATCCTTGCAGTTACTCTTCCCTCCCTTTGTCTATTCTCTAGATGAGGGAGAGAACCTGGATATATATTAAATCAGAGCCAATAAAACCAGAAATACACAAGAGTAACAACCTAATATGCACCTGAAACCAAAAAAGAACATAATCCCACATCACTAAATAACTTAAGAAACATACAAAAACTTAAACCAATAACATGTCCAATGTTGCTGGGTAGAGGAACACTGATTAGATATTTCAATTAGCCATTGTATATGGGATTCCCATTAGCTTCTTTGCCAGAGAATCTGAGTGTTCATACCTCAATTACTCCTATGGTCTCTCCACCGCAAAACTGAGGTTAACTCAGACTCAAGACCTCTTTCTGCCAGGTTGCAGGTATCCTTGGAGAGTCTGTTCAAGTCTGAGTTATTGGGTTAGGAACTCTTGCTGTCCCTCTCCCTGGGTGTGATGGTGGGTTCAGCAGACAAATTCACTGGCACTCACTTGTCCACTGAGTAAGGATTATTCCTATAGAATCAATTCAACTACAACAGTAACAGGCTAATCTGTTGCAGTGGAAACTATCAGGGCTAGCTGAGAAATAACATACTTAAAGACCCAGTATCACCCTGTTACAAAAACACCAGATAAAGACCCAACTAAAGAAGAGAACTATAGGCCAATCTCTTTAATGAACATAGATGCAAAGATCCTCAACAAGATATTAGTAAATATAATGCAGCACATTATCAAAAAGATCATACACTATGATCAAGTAGGTTTCATCCCAGAGATCCAAGGATGGTTCAACATACTTAAGTCTATAAATGTAATACATCAAATAAACAGGGACAAGATAAAAACCACATGATCATATCAGGAGATGCAGAAAAGGCTTTCCACAAAATGCAATACCTCTTCATGATAAAAACTCTGAAAAATACAGGTATAGAAGGACAATACCTGAATATGATAAAGGCTATTTACAACAAACCAATAGCCAGCATCATACTAAATAGGGAAAAACTAAAAGTATTCCCCCTAAAATCAGGAACAAGACAAGGATGTCCATTGTCACCTCTTCTATTTAACCCAGTACTTGAAACATTACCCAGAGCAATTAGGCAAGAGAAAGAAATAAAAGGGATACATATAGGAAAGGAAGAACTCAAATTATCATTATTTACAGATAATATGAAGACCCAAAGAACTCGATATCAGAAAATGGAAGTCCTTGCTCCTGGATGTCTCCTGCTCCTGGATTAGCAGAGCCAATATTGTCAAAATGGCCATACTTCCAAGTGTTATACAGATTCAATCCAGTCCTAATCAAAACACCAACAACATACTTTACAGATCTAGAGAAAAAAATCCTAAAATTTGTATGGAACCAGAAGAGACCCAGAATAGCAAAAGTAATTTTGTGCAGTAAGAGCAAAGCAGGTGGCATAGCAGTACCAGACTTCAAACTTTTCTATGAAGCAATAACAATAAAAACAGCATGGTACTGGAACAAAAACAGACACACAGATCAATGAGCAGAACTGACGATACAGAAACCTCCTCAGACATTCAACTATTTGATCTCTGAAAAAGGGGCCAAAAGGATACATTGGAGGAAAGATAGACTATTCAACAACTGATGCTGGGAAAATTGGTTACCTCTTTGTAAAATGAAACTGGACCCTTACCTCTCAGCATATACTAAATTAAAATTAAAATGGATCAAAGATCTAAACATTAAAATAGAAACATTAAACCTTCTGGAAGATAAAATAGGTAAAACACTTGAAGACAGGTGTAGGAAAAGATTTTCCAAACAGAATCTCAATTGCATAACAAATAACAGCAAGAATCTACAAACGGGATTATATCAGACTAAAAAGCTTCTATACAGCAAAAGAATCAATCAGTAGTGTGAAGAGACAACCTACAGAATGGGAAAAAATATCAGCTACTCCTCAGACAGAGGACTAATATCTAGAATATACAAAGAACTCAAAAAAATTAAACCACCTAAAATTAAAGACCTAGTTAAGAAATGGACTAGAGAAATGAACAGACATTTCACAGAGGAAGAAATACAGATTGTTAACAAATATATGAAAAAAAATGTTCAACATCTCTGGTCATTTAATGCAAATTAAAACAATGCTAAGATTCCACCTTACTTCAGAAAGAATGGTAATCATTAGGAAATCAAACAATAACAAATGCTGGTATGGCTGTGGAGAAAAAAGAATTGTATTGTTGGAGGGAATGCAAACTAGTACAACCATTATGGAAATCAGTATGTAGATTACTCAAAGAATTGAAATTAGAAATTCCATTTGACCCAGCTATCCCTCTGCTAGGTATCTTCCCCAAAGAGCTTAAGTCATCATACTACAATGATACCTGCATACCAATGTTTTTAGCAGCACATTCATAGTAGCTAAATCCTGGAAGCAGCCTGTATACCCATCAGCAAATGATTGATTAACAAAATGTGGTATCTATATACAATGGAATACTACTTAGCTATAAAGAATGACAAATTTGAGGCATCTGTAGGAAAATGGATGCACTTGGAAAATATAATGTTGAGTGAAGAAAATCACAAACATGAGCTTAAATATCATATGGTCTCTCTCATTTGAGTGAGGCAAAATACAAACAAAAAATGATAAAGGATGGATAGAAAGGGACAAAGGGATAGATCTTACTCAATAAGGAAGTGGTCCAAACAAACGAGAGGTGAGGGAGAGGAGAAGGGGAAATCAGAAGAATAAAGATGCACCATGTACAGGATCCTAATAACTCCAATGAATGTAAACATTATATGCCATAACAGGAGCTAAGACAAATAATATCAACAAATATGTAAAAGGTGATAGGGGAACTAGAGGAGGAGGGGGAAGGGAAGGGAAGAGGATTTAAAAAAAAAATACAATGGCCGGGGATTTAGCTCAGTGGTTCTGCCACCTGCCCCGTAAGCATAAGGACCCGAGTTTGATCCCTGGTACCAAAAAAACCCAAAATAACAAAAAACAAGCGGTAACATGTACATGTAACCACTCCCCAAGATGACTGAAAACTTCATAAATTGTAAAGATGTGCTTTGAAAAAATGGATAACCAAATATATGAGACAGCTGCTCTTACAAAAAACACATACCAAACTAAAAAAGAAAAATGAAAAAAATCAGAACAGACTACAGAGAAGAAAATTTCTAGAAAACTGTTTATAACATACCCAAGGAAGATACTGCAACCATAAAACAAGAATAGAGTACTCTTAAACCTTTCCAGGAAACCTGACTGCAGTAACACGAACCTGTAATCCCAGGTACTTGGGAGGCTAAGGCAGGAGGATTTCAGGTTTGAGGCCAGCTTGGGCAACTAGCAAGATCCTGTCTCAAACTAAAAATTTAAAAAAGGACTGAGGATTTAGCTGAGTGGTAAAAGTCCCCTGGGTTCAATCCTCAGTACTGCAAATATATATAGAAAATTATATATGGTATTTTATAATTTATAATATAAATATAGAATATAATTATATATTTAACAATACATTAATATAATTATATATGCTTTGTTACATATTATATAATTTATTTTACATATCAGATATATATATATATAGTGCCCAGTATATATATTGAACCCAGTAGTACTCTTTCACGAGCTACATTCCTAGCCTTTTTCTAAGTTTTGAGACAGGGTCTTATTAAGTTTCCCAGGCTGACTTTGAACCTATGATCCTCTTGCCTCAGCCTCCTTAGTAGCTGGGATAAACAGGTGTGTGTCACCTCAGCAAGCTGGGACCTCTTAATTTTGTTGTTGTTGCAATAAAGGGCCTGGGTTCAGCCCTGGTATATATCAGGGAAAACTACTCTGTCATTCTGTCTCCCACAGGGGCAGGCTGTCAAGTTCTGCCAGTTGCTCTGCTCTCTCCACAGTTCTCATTCTCACATGGGTGGCCTCTTTCACACACAGATTTCCCTCTTTTGTTCATCACTCATCTCAGTGACTGGCATCCCACACATAAGCTCCTTCAACTCTTTACCTACATCTTCCCTTCACATCCTGCCTCTTCGTATACAGACCTCCTCATCCTCAACTCTTACATATTTACTTGTTTTTCTTCAATTGGTGTGATCCTTTCCACCTGCCTCTCTTGCATTTATCTTCTCTCAGACTCTTGAGACCTGTCACCTCTCCTCTCATGTTCTCAACTCCTGCCCTGGCTCCTAATTTGGGGGACTGATCAGGAAATCTGCCAAAGTGGCTAGGGGGATAAGTGGGGCAGATGCACAGATGCTGGACATGAGGAGGCCAGGTGGCCAGCCCCAGCTTTCCAGGCCTCCTTGGTAGGAGGGGGTGGGCCTGAACTAAAGGACAGGGTGAGGGAAACAGCAACAGAAGTGAGTCCTGCTGCTTGACAGCCGGAGTGCACGCTCGGGCCATGCAGAAATGCTCTGTGGCCTGGATGGGCTGAAAGGTGCCAGTTGGACATCCCGACCTAGACAACCAATTAGGTCTGTTCAAAGTCTGCTATACAGAATGAACAGTCTTCACTTGATCTTAGCCAAAAGGCCGAGAAGCAATAGAACAAACAGTCAAAAAGAAGGCTAAATCCCCTGTTAAGGGTTAACTGACTTTCCTCCCCCTCAATTTTCCAGATTTATGGTCACGGTAAGAATTGGAAGACAAATCAGACAAAGGTTCCGAAAATTTGACACACACTGAACATCAAATTTAATGCTCTTTTATGTACTTTTGGAAACAAACCAGGTATTTGGTGAACACGAGGGATGTAGTAGGTATGCTTGATGAGAATCTGTACTGGGAAGGAATTTAAGATCAAGGTCAGGGATGATTAATATGCATGCAGGAAGTCATCAACATTTAGGCATAAGCAATATGAATCTCATTAAATCTTCAATAGCTTCCTATTGCCTCAAGGAATGGTGGTATTCTAATGATTAAAGCAATAACATTAAAGTAGAAAAACAGCATTAGGAAATTAATCTGGCCCTTACAAAAGAAGCTACCACTAAGTACTAATCACCCAAACTGAGTTTGTAAAAGTCCTCGACTGACTGCTGAGTTTTCTTTAGGTACACAGTTGCGTTGCATACTGTTGTACTGTCCCGAGTTAGAGAAATCGCTGAAAAGTGAGTTGTGATAGAGACATTCAAGGGCTCTCTTTTTAGCTAGTTAATAAATAATCCTCCCCACACTTCTCTCGTGTGAAGCCCTCCTAATGCTGTCTGTCCTGTCTCCCACTCACTGGCCCCATGTAGACTTCTGCTGTGTCCCTTGGCCCTGCTCCCTACCAACAGGCCCCAACAGCTGTTCTGCAGAGCATAAAGTAGGGCAGAGTGGAAGGGTGGCTGGTCCTCCTCAGCATCAGCCAGTCTGAATACGCCACTTGTTTCTTACTTGATTTTATAAGAAAACCGTCAACTTACTGATGACAGAGATGGGATGTGAGGCCCCAAATGCAGTTATCACAGGCTGAATGGAAGGAAGAACAAGGGTGTTAAATACAAACTCTACATGTGAGAGGTAAAAGGAATCAAAAGTTAATTTTTAAGCCTGGGATGTAACTCAGTGGCCATGCTTGTCTAGCTCATACAAGGCTCTGGATTCAATCCCCAGTACTGAAAAAAAGTTAAAATTTTCCTAAGGTATTTTTTTCAGTAATTAATAAACTTTCTCTTGTGGATGTGATAAAAAAATTTTTTTTGAAATGATGGTCATATTATTAGTAACCTTCCTTAGCGGGGGAGAAAATCACTTAATACCTAATCTTTCTATCTAAATGGTGGGACAGTGTCATCTGTCATCTTTATACATCTCTATAACATTTTAATACTGCCACTATGTGTAGATTTTTCTTTATCATGGCTAGTTGGAGTCCTATATGCCTCACTTATCTGTATGTCAAATTCTTTTGCTCTGTTTGGGAAGTTTTCTGTCATTAATTCTGTGAACAGTTTTTTTATGTCATTTGTACTTTCTCCTGCTTTTTCGTGGATTCCTATCAGTCTTATATTATTCTTCTTTGCGTCATCTAGGAGCTGCTGGATCGATTTCTCATGGTCCCTTACTATTTTTAAGAGATCTCTCTTTTCATGGTCATTGACCACAATCCTGTCTTCTACATCTGAAATTCTGTCTTCACATTGGCTCATTCTACTGCGAATGCTTTCAATAGAGTTTTTAATCTCCTGGATATCTGTTTGAATCTGTTTCATGGATTCCACTTCTTTCTTATGTTGGGCGATCACGGTTTCCATTTCTTTCTTATGCTGCGCATTCATGGCTTCCAGCATGGTTCTGGGCTCATCTATTTTTTTAATCTGTTTCTGTTCTAGAGCCTCTAATCATGTCTTTCACTCTGCTCACCATCTCTTTAGTTATCTGAGAAATTATTTCTGTTTTGAATTTTTCTAGAGCCTCATTCATCTGTTTTGTTACTTCCTGTGCTATCAGTTCAGGGTGTCCAGGTGGTTCACTATCAGATTTTTCCACCTCGTTTCCCCCAGAATTTGCCTTTGGTGAGCTGGAAGTCTGGGTTTGCGCCTTGCTTAGGTGTCCTCTCATTTCTATTTTTGTTGCTGGTACTGTTTTTGGTTTAATTCCTGGGTTGATACTTCAATATTTCTTATTGTAAGTATCTTTGTTGCTTGTATTTAGAACACTTACAGAATGACTGCTTCTCAGAGGTGTCTTGCAGATATAGTTGGTTTTTAGGTTTTGAGTCTCTAATGACTCTTAGGCAATCTCATTTTCAGTATACAAAGAAGGACAACTGATTAAATCAATCACAACACCTTAGACCAAGTGATACAACCAGCAGCAACAACAGCATCAAGCACAGCTTAGAAAATGACAATTTGTGGTAGTTATTAATCTATTGCTTTTAACCGTGTAAATTCAATAAAAATTGAGGACCAGCCCAAAATACATTTATAGTGAATAAACTCTTCCATATAGCAACTTTACCCTTTGGGAAGGGGGCTTAGAAGGAGTTGGGGAGGGAGGGATAGATAGGTACAAAGATAGGGAAAGGTTAGAAGGCCAGAGGACACAGGAAGATCACGCAAACTGTAGGAAACTGTTGAAGACAAGAGGAAAAGACAAAATGAAAGACAAGAACAGAACAACCTTACAGCAATAGGGAAGCTAGAAACTGTTTTCACTTTCCTTTAAAACTAATGAAAATTGAGAGAAGGAAAAAGAGAGAAAAAAAGAAAAAGAAAAATGAAATCTGAATTAGGCCAGTAACATGAACAAAAAGGGAGAGGGATGAACAAGGTGGGAGAGAAAGCAAGAGAGAAAGAAAAAAGAAAAAAAATTTGAAAAGAGAAAAAAATTTAAAATAAGAGAAATAAATAACTTTGAAAATAAAAAATAAAAATAAAGGGCCTCCTTCAGGGTATGTCTGCTGTCACAATAGACAACGTGGGCAGCAGTGTGCAGATCTAAGTCAATTAGTCTCAGCAAGCTAGCAGCAGACCCCTGAGATTCAGGCTGATTTCTGGCTGCAAAGCCCAAGTTGAGCTCCCTGACCTCCTGCAGGGTTGAACTCTGAAAGGTTCTACTGCAGGTTCCAGCTGCCTTTCCCCTGAAGATAGTCCAGGTTCCGATGGGAGGTGGTGATCCCTCTAACTTACCAACTACGGTGGTCTGGTGTGCCTTTACTGCAGATTTTCTTCACTTTTCCAGTGGGCTTCAATTTTCATCAAGGAGCCTCAGAGAGGCCCTCTTTCTATTGTTTACTTCTGCTCTATCTTCTGGAGCTCAGAACAATGTCCTTTACGAGCCCCTGCACCTCTGCAGTGTGGATCCAGGTACTGCCTTGGCACAGCCACGGGGGCGGGGGGAGCGTTGCTGCTGGTGCCCACGTGGCTCACCTCCTCAGTGCTCTGGGGTGGTGCAACGGCGGCCCGGGAGAATCTCCTCCTTCTTCCTGGGGGGGCTCTACTCCTCGGTGCTCGGGGGCGGTCAGTACTGCCACTATGAATCGCTACTATGAGCACAAGTGTCACGCATTGCGCTAAGTGAAGGTGTAGCCGCAGCCTCCAAGACAGTGCTGCCGCCAGCCTCTTGGTGCTCACACCCCGGTCCAGTCTTCTGCGTGACACTATACCGTGTGACCAACAGCGCATGACAGAAGTGATGCTAATGAGTCCATGCTCCCATAAGTAGCAAAGCACAGTATTAGAATTTGGACTAAGTAAGCATCCTCACTTGAGAACCCACATCTTTTTTTGGTACTGGGGATGGAACTCAGAACTTTGAGCTTGCGAGGCAGGCAGCAGCACCACTAGCTAAATCCCCGGCCCCAGAACCCACATTCTTAGCCACTGTTTACAGCCTTCCTCATATTTCTTTTTTTATTATTTTTTTTATTTTTTGGTGGTGTGGGGATCAAATCCAGGACCTTGTGCATGCTAGGCAAGCACTTGCCATTGAGCCACGCTCCCACTCCCTCACATTACTTTTATAATCAGGAAAGATAACTTAAAAGTATTTTCACCCTTAGAAGAAATTTCCTTTCTTCCTTCACTCCTGACTCAGAGGTAGAAACCCCTCCCTAGTTCCGGGGAACCCTTCCCCCAATTCCTCCTCCTTCTATTCTTTCCACCTCTTTCAGTCCCTCTCTCCAGGAAGTCTCTGATCCACAGCGTTCCAGTGGACCTGCTTCCTTACCAATTTTTTTCCTTCCTCTGCTCTTAACTATGGCTAGAGCCTCTATTTAAAAGACAAAATAAAACATGCCCACACAATTACACATAAATGTTCACAGCAGCATTATTTAAAAGAGCTTGAGCTGGAGGAGGTGGTGTACACTGGTAAATCCAGCAATTGGGAAGTTGAGGCAGGTGGATCTCCAGCCCAGATTTTACACTTTGAATGGGTGAATTGTATGATGTATTCCATCTCAATAAAGCTTTCTGTTTTTTTTTTAGTTACCATCTACTAAGGTGGAGAAGTCTGTAGAGTAGGGTAGATTTCAGAGGGAGGAGATCAGAAATCCAATTCAAGAGTTGTGGACATGTTGATTTTGAGATGACTGTGAAGAACAGAATGTTCAGTAAGTGGTTGGATGTATGCATCTGAAATTTAGGAGGAAGATCTTGGCTGGGAGCAAAAATATGGGAATCTACAGTTTAATGGACACTGTTTAGAGTTATGGAACTAATGAGATCATTAAGGGGGTAATGAGTATAGATGCTGAAAAAGTCCACAAATTACTTTCTCTTAGAATTTGCCCTAATTCTATTCTGACTAAATTAATATTGCTAGCCTGCTTTTACAGATAATTCTTTATGGATAAATTTTACCTTGAGTGAATTTTCTAGTTGGGTTTCCTAGAAGCCTGGTAAAGGCGGAAATCAGCCATGATACAGAGCCATATTACTTACGATAAAAATTGCTCTGCCTGGGTGTGGTGGCACAGACCTATAATCCCAACCACTCAGGAGACTGAGGCAGGAGGACTGAAAGTTCAGGGCCAGCCTGAGCAACTTAGTAAGATCCTCTTTTAAAATAAAAAAATATGGGTATAGCTCAGTGGTAGAGTGGTTTCCTTGCATGTGGAGCCCCTGGGTGAAATCCCTGGTAACACAGACATACACACACACACAAACACACACACACACACAAACACACACACACACGACTCCTGATTGCTATACTTCATCTAGACCATGAATAAATATCTGATAAGAAACTATACTTTGGCATATGTGGTGACTCCAAATTTTGTGCCTGATACTCCGTACAAATGGTTCTTTAGGTTTTCCACTGAAAAATAGTTGTTGTTGGCTGTTAGATGTAACTGTTTCAGTCATCACCGCTGTGTAATAGATTACCCCAAACTGAACAGAGTAAAAAAAAATTTAATTATACTCATGCATTATATGGCCCAGGAATTAAGAAATCAATGTCTGAGCCTGTCTGATGTTCAAGGCCTTCAGTCAAGAAGACTTGAAGGCTGGGGTGATTCAACAGCTGGGTGCTGGACCCATCTGAAGGCTCATTTACTCACCTGTCAGTGCCTGGGATAGGATGACTCAAAGCTAGGACTCCTAACTGGGCCACCTTCATGTGGTATCTCCCCATAGCATGGCTTTTTCATAGCATGGTCACCACAGGATAGTTTGTTTGTTTGTTTCACAAATCAGCTTCTGTTCTGAGCATAAGGGTTCCAGTGACTAAGGCAAAAGAAGTTGCACTCTCTTTTCTAACAGCCTCCCAAGTCACACATCATTTGGCCTGTACTTCTTTGGTGGAAGCTGCTCAATGATAGTCTAGGTTCTAGGACAGGGGACAGAATCCATCACTTAATGGGAGGCATATAAAAAATGTTGAAAGTTGGTGTGGTGGTGCACTCCTGTAATCTCAGCACTCTGGGAGGCTGCAGCAGAGGGATCACAAGTTTTACTCCAGCCAGGGTAACCTAGTAACTTAGTGAGACCCTATCCCAAAGTAAAAAGCACAAAAATAAAAAAGGGCTGGGGATGTAGCTCAGTGCAAAGACCCTGGTTGAATTCCCAGTACTGCAAAATAAAATAAACAAAGAAACAAGTTGAATTTTAATACTCTAAGGA